AGCATTCGCTGGCTGGGGAATTCTGGGGGTTGAAGTCCGGACATCTTCAAGTTGCCAAGGTTGAGAAACACTGACCTAAAGTCTCAATTTCTTTGAAAAATCCTCACTCTTGCAGAGTTGGATGGAAGGGAACATGTTTGCGATATGGGATACCCTCCACCCGCTAAGAAAATGAACCTTCACCAGGGTATGGGGTCTTCTGCTTGAGTAATGGGTTGGACTGGAAGACCCCCCCAAGATCCTTCCAATTCTCTTATTCTGTTAAGTAAAAGTAATATTCTAGCTTTCACATTTTGGATCTAGATTTCCATATTGAGATGCGTCCTCTCTGGATGCCAACATAACAAAGATTTGAAGTATCAATACACATCTCAGAGGGACAGACTTTTACAGCATCACTGTGGGTCACAGTGGATAGGATTCTACTTGGGACAAGCAGTTAGCTGGTGCTGTCAGTTTTTCTAGCCTGCAGGAAATGCTGTCAATCACTGTTGTATTTCTATAGTCTGGTTAATGCCCTTGTACAGAAAGTGCTTGCTTATTTTCGGCCATAAATTTGTTTTTAGTTATCATACACAATCATTGAATATTACATTGAATATGTGACAGGTCCTATTTGACTAAAAAACATCTTTGTATCTTTTGCTTTTGAGGAGTCCAATCATTTAACTTTTAAGAAATCTTTTAAAGGCAGTCTTTTAATTAGCATATTTTGTATTTGTAGTTATATGTGTGTGTGTATGCAAAAGGAAAAGAAAGAATGGGAAATACACTTCCCCCCCAAATACCCTCCCCCCAAATACCTTTGTTAACTAATTAAAACAGAACACATACGCACACACAGAGTATACATATACATATACATACACATACACACGCACACACGCACACACACACACACATATATTCATGCCCCCTTTAGTTTAGTTAGTTTATTCGATGGTGGGAAAACATTGGAAATTAAAAATATACATGTGTTGGCTATTTCCAGGTTTCTAAATAATCCCCAATATTATTACTGAAAATGAAATTCTTGTTAGATTTAAGATCTTCAAACCATTGATGGAGAATAGTATCCTTCCATTCTGACCTTGTTATCATGTCTCTCCCAGTCATGAATATTGTAACAGTGTTAATCTCCTTAGGCCACACCCTTCCTCATTACACAAATATACATCACCTGATCTACTTATATCCGCTAAGCATTCAAGTTTATACAGCTTGGAGGTGGAAAATATGCATACAAAGGATTATAGTGGTCAAAATACTCACTTGCCTAATAATTATGCACATAGTGTACTCCTAGAAATGCTTGGGGGGGAAAAACAAGCCCTATAAAAGTTAAAAGGCAAGCCCAAAGCTGCTGTTGCCATACACCAGTGGCAAATACAATCCTTGGCTGTATAAACAGAGGCATAGAATCAAAATCACGTGAAGTATTAGTATCGCTTTATAAAGCTTTAGTAAGGCCACACCTAGAATATTGCATTCAGTTTTGGTCACAAAAAAGACGTTGTTGAGACTTTGGAAAAAGTGCAGAGAAGAGCAACTAAGATGCTTAAGGCCTGGAGACTAAAAAAATATGAAGAACGGTTGCAGGATTTGAGTTTGGCTAGTCTAGAGAAAAGAAAGACGAGGCATGACAGCACAACACTAGTATAGGAGAGAAGGCCATAAAAAAAAGAAGAGGGGGTCAACTTATTTCCCAAAGCACCAGAAGGCAGGACAAGAAACAATGGGTGGAAACTAATCAAGCAGAAGAGCAACCTGGAATTGAGAAGAAACTTCCTAACAGTGAGAACAATTAAGTAGTGCAGTGTTCCCAAACTTGGCAACTTTAAGACTTGTGGACTTCAACTCCCAGAATTCCCCAGCCAGCATTTGCAGAGCTGGCTGGAGGATTCTGGGAGTTGAAGTCCACAAGTCTTAAAGTTGCCAAGTTTGGGAACCACTGCCATACACTGATACCACCATGTCATTACCTGCCACCTGCAGTTTCTGCCTGCTGAAAAGTTTCCCATCCCAGGATGAAAGAGATGATGCTTTGAAGCAGGTGAAATAGAAAAAGGGCAGGAGAAATTCTTCCTTTGTCTTTGTGTGCTTAAAGTAAAAGAAAAGCCCTAGGCATCCATCCTCTGATAGTTTAATTAAAACACATTCAATGTCCACACTGAACTTGTGGCAACCTCTTCTGGTTTTTCATTCTGCACCACTTTTTTTCATTAGAAGAGGGGGAAACAGCAAATTTTACAGGTGACTGTAGATCTTAAACACACTAAGAACTCCTAATATCAGTTAGAATGCCATAGTTGATGTTCATTGTAAATAAAATGCCCATTTGTTGATGCATGCAATTTCTCTTCCATAACTAATGGAAGAGAGACTGTTTAGTCTCACCTTTTCCCCATTTCTTTTCTTGCTTCTTCCAGTCAACATGGGCCGTGCGGCGTTTGAAGCCATTGCTGTGATGGTGAATCAGATCCACAAGAGCCTGGAGAGCAGCCAAGATCAGCATGGCCACAACCATCTGTTGGCCTCTTACATCTTCTACGTTTTCCGTCTGCCTGTGATGGAGCCAGGTTTGCCAGGGGCCACAAATGCTTGGCATATGTATGGGCAAGCAAAGGGCTGTGGGTCTGATCATCTTTCCTATGGGCTGTGAGCCTTTTGCCTGGCCTGCAGCTCAGCAGTGTTTGGAACCATTCCAAGTATTCGGCAAAAATAGTTCTTGTATTATTACTATATTTCTATTAAAAAGGATGAAGCAATTAGCACCATTTATCAATTTAATGCAGAGAACAAAGACTTGTTTATATTTGGCATCTTTAGCTGAATGATTACAAACCTGGGATGACGGATTTAGGTGCTGCTGAGTGGTTCAAAAAGGGATCGCCAAACCAAATTTCAAGGATCAAGAACAGCTTAATGGTTTCTGCGGAGGAGAATATCCTGAGCAGAAATCCTGTCCTATTTGGGATTTTCCCTTTCCCAATTTGAAATTAAAAGTAGAATTTCAGAGGTTCCGACTATAGGTAGCTTTCAGGCGCACTTCATTTAATAATCAGGAAAGAAACTACTCAAAAACCACTCATTTGTTTGAAATCAAGTGTACTTTTACTAATTATAAACGAACAGTAGCGAAGCTAAGCTGAATCTGGTTAATTAGGCGCGAAAGCAAAGAATATCATGTATAGTTCAATCCCCTCCCCTTGGCACCCCAGTCCATAGTCCAATTATAATGCCCCCAACTGTCAGGTGGGAGATATCTTCAAAAGTCATCACCAGGATGGAATGCTGGACAGTTAACCTTGGCGGGAAACTCCCTTCCTCCACATGCGCAGTAAGATGGTCAGGTCAGCGTCAGCGTCTAGAATCTTCCTCCAGCACATCATGATTCCCCTCCCAAATACCATGCCCCCCTCCCCGTTACAATGGCAGCCGAAGCAGCAGCAAAGCAGAGGCTGACAGTAGCCTTTACTTAACGACCACAATTGGGACCAGCTGCGTCACTAAGCGATGAGACATTAACAAAAATATCAGCCGATCAGACGTACATTGACACTTCTGCGAGTATTAAGCAAATCACCACAGATTATTAAGTGAGACATGTGGCTCACCGTGGATTACAGTTTTACTGGCAATTTCTCCATCAACTTTGCTTGTTGGTATCCAGCTGTGAAGTGTGGCATGGTGCCCATGGGACATCGCAACAGTTGTAAAGGTCCATTGGTTGCAAAGTGCCCAAATGTTACCCATAACATTACAGGGATATTATCATAAGTGTTGGGACTGATCATAAAGTTACCATTGTAATTTCTGATGGTCACTAAACAGGGCAGTCATTAAGTGAGGTTTTACATTAAGTGTAATGTGGTTGCTTACCCAATCTCTCCACTTCCTCCCATTGCAAGCAGCCAAGATTAAGAACAGCACAACATGCTCCGTTATAAGTAGCAGGAGGACGAGGGTTAAAATAGTACTCATATAATGTACAGCGTTAAAGGATCATCCTGTAATAGCTTTTTAACAGTATTTTGACACAAAATTAAACCCAAGAAGTTCTAGTAGTGAAATTGCAGTAGAAAAATATTTTAATGAGTTTTCTGAAAAGAAGGAGCTGGAGCACCCTAATGGAAAAGAGGAGAGATTAGTCTCAAATTTGTGACAATTTCCCCTCTGCTTGAATGAAAGAGAATCTAATAATGGACAGCTCAGTCACAACATGAGAGATTCATAGACATTTTTAAACACCTGCACAAGGGATAGAAGAAGTCACTCTCCCAGTCTGACTCACTCTGTATTTCTTCCAGAGTCCGGAGTGCCACCACACAGTGGTGCCCTCCAATATGCTACCTTGTCCCGGGCAACTGGGCGCCCTGTCAGCCTTAACCTCTCCCATTCCAAAAGTATCAGCAACAGCAATCCTGACTTGACCACCACACCAACTTCCCCCGATGAAGAGGTTCAGAAGATTATCGGCAGCAAGGTTGGTACAACACCCCTCTGACCCTGTCCTTCCCAAGAAGAAGGAGGTTTAGTTGCCAAGCAGTCTGCTAAAATCGTGGTCTTTGAAGTGCCAGGTGATAATCAGGCATTTTGGTTTTTCACAGTTCCAACACTCTGTTCTTGTGATCCTATTTTACTGATTGTGCTGTTCTTTATGTATGTTTCTGTTCTTATAATTAGTATTCTGCTGCTTTTGTACAGTTTTAATAGTTTGCTCCCTACCCAGAAAAAATAATAGGCAATTTGGATGTATAATAAATACATTCTACCACACAGAATGATTGCAGAATAGATATGTGAAGCTTTGTAGACCTAGAAATGTTTTCTGGCTTTTCAAAGTGCGTGTGTGCTCATCAGATTAGCCTGGGCATCTACTTCACAGAGTGGGCTAGTCCTAGATTCTAATCTGGACATAGAGAAATTTTGTTTTCTGTATCAAATGTGACCTGAAGGGATTTATTATCCTCTGTACAAAGTCCCTCTCTCTCCATTTCTCCTGCCCAGCACAGAGAAAAACCAAAATAGTGAATTATAATGTATGTTTTCCTCCCCCAGCTCTAAGGCAACGTCCTTCTCTTAGTGCTAAGTTATAAACAGTCCCTGATTCAGTTGACTTGCATTGATCACCTGGGGAGGTGGGACTGGGAAGTGTGTATGTATGTGAATGCATGTGTCTGTGTGGGGTGGGCATATTTGTGTAAATTTGGGGAAAGGCATGCCAACATTGGCTCCACCAACATCCATTGTTGGCACTTTTGAAGTGATCAGACATTTTCCTCCAATCTTTATGCTTCGGGCTTCCTAGAGAAAGGTTTTTCTTAGTTCACTTCTTAAATAGAGTCCGTTGCCCTGCATACTTTTGGATTTATAGGAGAATCTGATCTTAGCTTTCCATGGAAGCAGCATTTACAGGACTTAGTGTAATATTTGTCTTACATGCAATTATTATCATTCTTACTTTTTTTTCTTTCTCCCTTTCTTTCCAAAGCCTTAAGTTCGAATTTTTTTTTTTTTAATGCAACCACTGAACCATAAAACAACCAAAAGGTTTCTTTGGAAGTAGCAACTTTAGAACAGTTCTCGGTGAAATTGCACCAGCAATTTGATTCTGCCCAACATCTGTGCTATATGAAAAGCAAATCTCAATTTGATAGAAAAACATTGGCTGTGCTACTAAAGGGAAATGATTCTGTTGCCTGGCAATTCAAGCTGCCCTATATGGCCCAGAGTTATTACTGGCAAACATTTATCTACATAATTCTATTAATTGGATTCAGATGGAATTATTAATAGACTGTAATTAATAAAGCAATCTGAGAGAGTCTCTCTGTGAGGGCCATTCTTTATGATGGATACTATAAAATGGCACCTTAGTGGGCAGGGCAGCTGGCATGGATAGCTAACTTCCCAGAAGACACGCTCAGGATCCAAAAAGATCTTGACAGACTTGAACAATGGACCATATCCAACAA